TTGGTCTGAAAGATGAACCCCATCATTCCGGTACAAGGCTTGGAGAGTCTTTACCGGATCAGGTTTGTGAGTACATCTCCTACTAGTAGACGGATGGCTATGTCAGTTTTGTCTGTGCCCAGTCAATTTTGGGTGGGCTTAGAGCAGGGGGGGACTCAAACCAGACTCTATTTTGCCCTCTCCCTAGCTCCAAAGTTGATATTTGCTGTCAATGCTGATCATGCTGACCTCATATTTGATGATGACCTCATATTTGATGATGACCTTCTTCCTCAGCTGCCTGCTCATAAATCACAATTGTGCTCACAGATGTGCGGATCACATCTAAACAGAATGCTAAACAAAAATGTGTGGTTTGGGACTTGCAGATCAAGCGCAATATCAAAACTCTTGATGAAAACACAAAAAGGTAGACATTACACACCATTGTTGGTGTCTAGGGGTTGCGCTGCTGAGAGTGAAATAGGTATAATGGCACATAATTGGCTGAGCACCAATTAATTAGGTATTTCCTTCTCCTTTCTTCTCTCCCTCTTAGATTATAATCCACATACATCTTTTCCATCCTGCTACTCCTTCAGCTCGCTCCATCAGTGTAACCAGCTGATTTATTTAATAAAACCAATGCCTTAGCATTCCTGAAAAATACTGCTTCCAATAGAAAGCTCCCATGCTGTGATTGGTGAAGTGGTAAGTAATTTGCTTTTAATGCTAGCACATACCACTTAGCACTATATTTAACCGAATGATGAAAATCTCTAATTTTTCATCCACTTGCTTTAACTGGTGCTCACTGCCATCCATCTAGGTGCAGTGGGAGCTTTTCTCCTGGAAATGTTTTAATAGACCTTGCTCTCCAGTCTACAACAAGCATTTTAATTTTTAATTCATACTTATGACTTTATCCTATAATAGACCAGAACTACAGATGCGGGAGTATGTTGTAGACAATAAGAGCACAGTGGGTACCTAGGGAAACTATGGCACTAAAAGGGTTCTTTATTTACACTTTTCAGTAATGACTACATATATTCAGTTATACAGGAGGAAATTGTAAAAAGGAATGCCACCATAGGCAGGCAATTACTATGTGACTATAACTAAGTGATATGGATGAGGTTGCTAATAACTACAGAGGAGAATACAATCTGTACAAGTTACGAGCCAAATTCTATTTCGTTCGTAGCTTATCAGTGGCTTCCCCCCCCCCACCTCATCTCCATGGGGTTCATGCAGGATTTATGAAACAATATCACAGAACTAAATCTATATTCAAATCTATATCAGTTGAATTAGATACGCCCCCCCCCAAAAAATACTGCAAAACTACAAAGCGTGGTTTGTAATTTTTACTCATTCATGGGAATTAATAGGTAGGTAAGGACCTGATGAATCTCTGGATTGTGTTCACTATGAAACAGTCATTCCAAGGATTTGGGGGAGGTCCCTGCTCCCATTTAAAAGATTCTTCCAATGATCTGAATGCCCTTTCTTCCCACTGAATTGAGCTCCTTTTTTCCAGGAGCAACAGGGACTAGAAGAAGGAGCTTTCTGATTTGTGTTTGTGCCAGTCGCATGGGACAAGCCCCCTGGAAAAAGCTGGAACAATTGGATTATCCTACCATGCTCTGGTATAGCTGCACTCATCTAGGCAGCCACTTGATTCCTCCCTGACTTGATCTGGTCTGGGTCATTACTTGGGCAACAGCCTTGTCCATGATGTTCTCCATACACTTTCCAAGCCCTCTGCTTTTCAGCTTTGTTGAGTGTTTTCCAGTCTCTGTCCAACCTGCTTCGCACATCCTAGAAAGCCAAACCATGACTCACCAAGACCATGATTTTCCAAGTCCTGCTTAAGACTCCTGCTATCTACTCAATATCTGTCTCCAAGCTCCTTACCCATCATCCTGGACTTGTGCCTCCAATACCCGGCATTTCTAGGTGTCCAAATCTCATGGGTAACAGTACCTTAGGATACAGCGATGCTTCTTTTATCATGTAGGGGGAGAAGAAGAATGGTCAAGCTGCAGCTGAATTTAAGTAACTTTTGGAAGAACTCATCGTTCTTGGGTTCACAGATGTACCATACTCACTTCCCACTTCGGGGGGGCATACCAAGGGGGGGGGAAGCTGCAGGGGGAGGAGAGGAAATTCACTCATGCAGTAGGACCCTAGGAAGTCTGACCACAGACCCATCTAGCTCAGTCTCATCTAAAAGGTAAAGGTAAAGGCACCCCTGACCATTAGGTCCAGTCGTGACTGACTCTGGGTTGCGGCGCTCATCTCGCTTTATTGGCCGAGGGAGCTGGCGTTTGTCCGCAGACAGCTTCCGGGTCATGTGGCCAGCATGACTAAGCTGCTTCTAGCGAACCAGAGCAGCACACGGAAATGCCGTTTACCTTCCCGCTGGAGCGGTACCTATTTATCTACTTGCACTTTGTGCTTTCGAACTGCTAGGTTGGCAGGAGCAGGGACCGAGCAATGGGAGCTCACCCCGTCACAGGGATTAGAACCGCTGACCTTCTGATCGGCAAGTCCTAGGCTCTGTGGTTTAACCCACAGGTGGGTGCTTATATTGGTTAAGTTTAAGTTAAAATCCAGCAACTAAATCCAAAATGCAATGCTTTTAAAAATAACCTCCAAGGTCAAGTTCTTAAAGCAAACATTGAAAAGTTTTGCCAAAATACAAGTTCACAGACATTTTCACATTATTCCCTACTATTTCTTTTTCCGGGCAAAATAATCAGCTTATTTCTATTACTGAGCGTCTGGGAAGATTTCCTGGCAGTTGCCATATTTGTTTGCTTGCATGCTTACTTTTCAGAACCAAACCATGCTGTCATGTGTTTTGAGGCTTATCAGCTCCCCATGTACATTGTGGAAAACCCTGAAATAAATTTGAAGTGCATTCTGTGGTTCCAAGGGTCAATATAATGAATTCTAAAAGAGGGGGAAAGCCCTTGCAATAAGAACACAATAAGAAAGCACTCCAAATCTGGACTGCAGTCAGTCACAAGTTTGGAGGGCACTACCTTCTGCATCATACAATACAATAATAAATGTACACATTAAAAACAAAAGTATTAGTAGATTGTGATGAAGATTGTCATATGAACCAAGATGCATTTGCAGCGCTCTTCTTGATTAATTAGCTACTGAAGACAACAGGTTCACCTAAAAATGAAAAGGAAATGAGTTGTTTAGACCATAACAGTTGCCAACCACCATTGTCCCACCAATTTACATTTCTTTTAATATTTTCACTAGTAAAATTTACCCTATAATTTCCAGCTGTTTTGGCTCTCTGTGTGTGGAGTGTACAGACACCCTTCACATAATTCCCTGCTGGACTGCCAAGTGTGAGCTCTGCTCTGCTGGAAGTATTTAAGGAGAGGCTATACTATGTTCAGAGGGACGTGGGTGGCGCTGTGGGTAAAACCTCAGCGCCTAGGACTTGCCGATCGCATGGTCGGCGGTTCGAATCCCCCGCGGTGGGGTGAGCTCCCGTCATTCGGTTCCAGCTCCTGCCCACCTAGCAGTTCAAAAGCACCCTTAAGTGCAAGTAGATAAATAGGTATTGCTTTATAGCGGGAAGGTAAACGGCGTTTCCGTGTGCTGCTCTGGTGCCGGTTCGCCAGAGCAGCTTCGTCACTCTGGCCACGTGACCCGGAAGTGTCTGCGGACAGCGCTGGTTCCCGGCCTCTAGAGTGAGATGAGCGCACAACCCTAGAGTCTGTCAAGACTGGCCCGTACAGGCAGGGGTACCTTTACCTTTACCTTATACTATGTTCAGGCCAGTTGGGCCATTTTAGTTCCTCTGTTTCTGATTTTTCCAGTTAAATTTCACTTGCAACATTTCCACATTGGTTTTTTAAAAGTCCTTACGAAAGACCATAAGTATTTTAGCGCACATTTCCTAACAGACACGTTTTTGTGTGCAATTTGCCTAATAGGCACATTTTGGAAGCATTTTCCCCATATGTAACACATTCGTGCACATTAAAATGCATACATTAGTGAAAATAACGTAGGGAAAAAATACATTAGGTTGGGGAAAACGCTTGGAAAATATGCATCTCGTACACGTATTTTGACTGGAGAGGTGCACGCAAAATATTGAGAAGTGCAAATTTCAGATGATAGCTGTTTGGGAAAGTGCAGATTAGGTAAATTCACTATAAAATATGAGCTGAACTGAATTGTTTCCTTATCCCTAAACTGGACATCTATATGCCTTGGATGCTGTAAGATTCTACATTGATTAGGGTGTTGTACTAGAGGAGCTCCAAGGTCCCTGTGTGGTACTCTGAATAAAGTTCTAACTCTGTATTACAATTCCATTTTTCTCATTTATCTCAGACCCTCACACATCTGTTGTAGATCCTTAAAAAATGTAGAGATTCTAGGCTCCATCTTCGGAGTATGCTATAAATCACAGGTAGCTGAATTGACATGTTTTGCAATGGAGGTGCTCTCATATATCACAGCTAGCGCAGGAGGTCAGTTTAGCTGGAGTCTTACTCTAGGAGGGTCATAGCCAGTGGTAGAATACTTGTTTTGGCAGCCCCAAGTTTGATCCCTCGCATCTCCATGAAAGACCCCTATCTGGAACCTGGAGAGCCCTGCTAGATAGATAGTTAGATAGACCACTGGTCTGACTCTATATAAGGCAACTTCCTGTGTTCTGCAGAATACAGCGTATTCCACATAATCCAGCCTTGGTCATGGTGTTTACAAATTTCACATATGTTCCCTGGCCATGGACTTAAAGCCACCACTGGGTGCTAAGCCAACCTCAAAGTCATCAGGTCTGGATTGGACCCATCATCTGGCCCTCCTCCCCTTCCACTGTGGCCACCATGAATGACAGAGCTGTAGATGCTTTTGTTCATAAGCCAGATAGTTTGTCAAAACAGGAGGAGGACTTTTCTTACAGAGGGTTTTTGCTCAGCGCTATCACATTTGACACACTCTGTTCCATGTTTACAAGAGAGCGGCAGTCACTGAAAGTAATACCTGTATTCTTTTCTTCTTTCCCTTAGCTTGTTCTCAGATGAAATTCCCAGTGCATTATCTGTTTCACTTATGTGCTCCTGTACAAAGGCACCCCCTTCATTGCGTATGAAATTTATTCCACTAATGTCACCAAATGCCTGAAAAATACAGTGTGCAGGCTCATTGGTTGTGGCACAGTCCAGTGCGATATCAAGTTAAAAGAAACAAAAGTAAGCAGACTCTGGGCACAGTTTATTTATTTGTTTAAATTACAGATTAGCAGCTCTTTTGTGTGTGAAATTTGGTACTGTCATGGCAATAACCCAGATTCCCTTCTAATGTACAATTTGGGTTTCATGGTTGAATTCCGCTCCTGTGTTTTGTAGCAATTTTTTTAACAGCCCTGCCAAAACACTATAGAGGGAGTGTGCGTACAGAGAGAGTCATTAATAACATGTACAGTGGCAAATGAAGACTTAATTCCACATGAAAGGTAAATCCACCTAGGTTTTGCTTCAGCTCTAAGAAATAAATAGAATATAACTGCATTTCTCATGCTCAGCTATTTTCTTTCTGTAGGATACTGTTGGGAAGTGAGTAAGAAAAGTATATGAAATAAAGTGGGGAAGCTACTGGCTTTGGGAATACACTGGATGTAGGAAAAATATTGCAGATGAGTGATTCAAATATAGAATAAAATTGGCGTGACCCATTGTCGTGCTGCATCTAGGATCACCTACAATCTACATCAAGGATCATTTAGGGCTACAGGCTTTGCTGGAGAGTGACTGATGTGGTATGTCAAGACAAACACAATTGGTGTCCTCATTACCTATATAAAGATAAGCAAACGGGAGTGATCTTTCATGGATGGTCAATCAGGTGTAGAGACTGGACATATAAGACAATGAGCAATTAAGGTGAATGCACCATTCTGATGGAAGAAATGAAGTTGTTGGAGTTGGTTACATGGGCTAGATCTCTTAATAGATTCAGCAAATTCACAAACTCTACCACATCTCTTTTAAAAAATTTAAATGAGAATAAGCTTATACTTAATGCTGCATTGAAATCAATGGGGGTCAAAAAATTATTCATGCAGAGACTGATCTTCAAAATTCATAATTATATATTACTTACTAATTATATTTAATTAACTTAATAATTATATATAACTCAAATATTAAATGTTAAGAACTATAATAATAGTAATCACATCACATTTTATAAGCTGTTAACAAATTTGCATATAATAAACTGTAGCATGTATACAAATATAAACATAAACATATACATAAATATTGGACATAGTCTCAATATTGAATTAATTAAAGGCCAAGTCATTGCTTCTGAAAGTGACTCAATGGCAGTAACCTTTTAATTAATCAACTTCGCCCAAAAGTTCACTTCACAGTGTAATTATAAAAGTGAGTAAAAATTATAATTGATGTGTTTTTGTCAATCTATGTAGCTGCAAGGTACTTTTTGAAAAGGTTATATTTTTGTTTAGGTAAACTGAGCTAATATTGCCTTGGTAATTATCTTTGACTTTTTTTGCTTTTTCTAAAAAAAACAAAAACAAACTTGAATCAGCAATAAGATATGCTAAATAAATATTTGAAGCATTTAAACATTAAGAATCTGGATTGTGGATATATGCTGGAGCAAACTTGGAATGAACCACAAAGTCTAAGCAAAGTTTTCTCCTCATCCGTAAAAGGCCCATGTGGAATTAAATATCCTGGCACATTGATTTTTACTATCACAATTTATGTTTGCTTTCTGGAACAGACATAGCATCAAGTCGAGGCTCCTCCTCACTCAGGAGCCATTAATCAAATGGAATGAAATCGCTTCAGAAGTGCATCCATTTTGTATTTCCCAAATATAAACATTAGAGCAGGAGTTTTAAGTAGAGAAATAAATGTACAATTACTTTTGCACATGTTAATTTGCATGCACACATCTTGGAAAATGCACAAAGTGTACAAGAAGCAGCTACATTTCAAGTTGTTCCAAATGAACAGATCTCACAACGCATTGTGTTACCAAAACCAAGTGGGCAGCCTGTTTTGTTTTCCTCCAACAACCTCTCTGGGAGGGACGACACATGACTCCGCCCCATCAATTTTGGGGTCACGTTGAACACTTGTTTGCTGGTTGTGGCCAGGTTGTCTGATAGCAGCCAGGCCTGAAGCAAGAAGGCATACATTTTTAAGAGGCAGCCCTTATGCCACCTCATAAGAAGGTACCAAGGACTAACTTTTTAAAAGGTTTGGTTTCTTATTTGACAGCTAGGAACTGTTCCAAACAGTTAGAAACAACAGCAAGCATGCCGCCTTGCCCCCACAATCAAGGGTGCCGGGACCGTGTGAAGTCAGCATGTGTTATGTGCAAGCCCTGCGGCATATGCATGTGAATTGAGTACACCATGTGTTGTGTGTGCATGGCTGCCACAGAATTTTGAGGGGGCTCATGCACCTCCTTGAATTTTTTGGGGGGTGGGGGTCCTTGCCCCCCAGTCTTCACTAGGTAGTGCCCCTGAAGCGCAGTATAGTTTAAGCCAAAAGAGGCTTCAGTGATTTGGATTGTTATTAGATGAGCATCCCCCCTGTCTTCAAAATTGCCATGCAGACATGTCTTTAGTCCACTTGTTTCCACATATCAAACCATTTCCCACAGTACCAGGGAAGAGACAGGGAGGAGTGATGCTCTCTGCATCACTGTGAATGAGAGACTTCATAATTCATCATTATAAGTCAGCCCTGGTTTAACCACAACAATTTCAGTGGGTGATTGTGATGTGAATAATAGTCTATTAGAGAGGCCTAGTCCCTTCTTAGATCTCTAGACCCAGAGATTTGGAGCTGATTTAAATTAGGGGTGTGCATTTGGTTGGAGTGAATCCTGAATGGTGAGCAGAAGTAGAGTGCATCAGAAGGATTTTGGCTTGCCTGAGGTAAAGTGAACACACACTCCCTCTGTATATGGCTGCGTGAGTTGAAGCAGGGACCCCTGAAGCAGTTTGTGGCAGCTTGGTGATTCAGGCATTAAAAAAAAATACTGTAGACTAGCGTCTACTGAAAGTGACACCATGTATCTAAGCTTCCTTGAACCCTTTAATTTAATTTTAACCATGCTTTTTGGAGCACGGGTCATCCACCTTGATCAGAAATGCTACAAGCCCCAAAATATATCCCTGAATATTGCAACTAGCACATACTTATGGCCATCTTCAATGTCATCTCACTTTCATCAGAAAGTGATGCCTCTCCTTTTCTTTACTGGGTCCACAGCTCTTCATTTATGTCTTACAAACTTACATATCATTTGCATTTATGCATTGAAATTGTTCAGGGTACCCTCTCTTTGAAGGTTTCAGCCATTCATATGTCAATGAATTGATCCAAGTAAGGGCCAATTAGCTCCTGCATTAGGCTATCGAATCATCCCTGATGTTCTCTGATTTGGATTGCAGTAGAAGTCCTCCCTCTCTCCCTCCCATGAATGTGCAGTCTTCTGGTGCAGAAAGCATTTAACTTGGGGCTCCACTGCATGTGAGCAAACATAACCACCAACACATTTGGGCTTGCTTTCACTACGCACAACATTTCAGTATAATCAATGGCCTTGTTCATGGGTTATCTCATTCGTGGTACTTGGAGTAAGAGTTCAAATCTAAATACAGTGAATTGCTTTCAAAATAAAGCATTAGGTAATCTGTTTATTTCCCCAGGAAGCACTCACCAGCCACAAATGTGTAAGCGATTTGAGAGCTGTTTGATATGTCCTTACCAGTTCCAAGAACAATGCGCCAAATTGTGCAGCCCTTCATTTTTATAAAAGTACAGTTTCCTCAAACAGCCACAACACATTCGGTGTTCCTTAGATTAAATATCTGAATATTGCTTCTGAAGGAACAGCTGTCAGCTTAAATCTAAAGTCTAGTTTGTTTACCGATCGTATTTTATATTTGTTAGGAAATGACACCAAATGGCAATAACATTGCGGAAAGTGTTCTACTGGGGAATATACATGCCCTTTGGTTACAGTATACATATCTTTATACATAATGCCAGTATATTTCCCCTAGAATTATGTTAAATATGTAAAAAGCCTTTCCTCATAAAGGTAAAAATGCTAGATGATTTCAAGCTATAATTTAGCATTAGTGTCAAGATTGTTTCGGAAAATAAGCTACAGTTACCGCTTCATTCTTTTTAAGTGTCACTCAGCATACCGTATCTGATCTTGCATTCCAAATAAGCCCAGATGATTTTATTCACTTTCCAAGGCAGACACAAGAGTTTAAGCATCATGTGCAGCATATGGATGGATGTAAACGGCTTCATGAAGTAATAGGCTAGTTACCCAGACTGTCTGATCTTATTACCGCTTGCTTCATTTCAAGCAATTGTGGAGGGTAGGGAAGATCTCCCTTTCATCTTCTCTGTGTTTAGAGTGATTCAATCTTAAGGGTGGTTTTGTTTTGTCTTTTAAAAAACTAGATAAAAAGCAGGCTGTCCCAAAAAAAGAAAGAAAAAAGTTTCTGTGCAACATTAAGCTTTACTTACCCTTTAATAAGAAACTGATTTCTTCTTGAGTTAAAAGTGGCTTATCGTTGCCCTCTTAATAAGAAATCAACTGAAGGCAGCAGAAGCCAAGATAATAACAAAACAAAACAAAAATTGCCATATTTGTGTTATCCCAATGTATCACCAGTATTAAATGCTCTGTGCATGGCTTCTAAATGCATTTAAAATGCTAAAACTCAAAAGACAATTTAAAAAGGAAGAACTGTGAATGAAACAATGTCTTGTTTTTAGGGAGGTGACAATTTTGCATGCAGAAAGTGCTTGTTTCAATCCTGAAAGAGGCTAAAACCCCAGAAGGCCACTGCCAATCCATGGGAAACTGAGTTTTCAACTTCCTTCCAGCACATGCATGCAGCTCCCTCCCTCCCTCCCTCCCTCCCTCAAGCACACACCACTATATATTCCTCACCTCTTCCTTCCCTCTTTCTCTCAGAATTCAGATGCCCCCTCAAAAGAACACATTTCCCCACGGAACACATTGCTCCATCCTAATCCCAAACTGAAATTGATCACGCAGACGATAAATACAAAATAATAATGAATAGACAACTTTCTTACTATATGTGTGGTAGGAGCACAAACACACAACAAGTGACATCAAGCAGAACATGACAATATTTCTCCTAACACAGCAACAATTCTCTTTCTCCAAGATCTGCTCCAAAAGGTCCCCTAACATTTATTTTTAATATGTATTTTGTGGTTTATATCTTGATTTTATTCTGTGAACCGCCCTGAGACCTCTGGGTATAGGGTGGTATATGAATTCTTTACTATGGAGACTGATTTGTGTAGAATGCTATCAAGTGACCAGTGCAGAATGATCCTGAATACACTGTACAATGGCCTGTGGTCATTTGGCTATAACAATTACCGTATTCTTTGCTCTATAAGACTCACTTTTTCCCTCCTAAAAAGTAAGGGGAAATGTGTGTGCGTCTTACGGAGCAAATGCAGGCTGCACAGCTATCCCCGAAGCCACAACAGCAAGAGGGATGCTGCTTTCTCTGCACAGCGATCCCTCTTGCTGTTCTGGCTTCTGAGATTCAGAATATTTTTTTTCTTGTTTTCCTCCTCCAAAAACTAGGTGCATCTTGTGGTCTGGCGCGTCTTATAGAGCGAAAAATATGGTACATCACATTAAAAACCAGAATGTTGGAACTTACCTCTACAATAGCACCACTAGGAAGTCTAAGGAAGTGCCTGTACAGTTCTTGGAAGCCCCCAAGATGAACTGTGTATATAGATACATGGACAGTGACTGCTCCTGAGCTTCCGATAGATTTCAAGATTTCATTGGGGAGATGGAGGCCAGTACTCGTGACACCAGACTTATTGGCATGGTCTTTCCAGATATAATCACAGACGATGACCTAGTGAAGGAGAGATCATATGGTTATTTCATTTCTGCCATGAGCTTGGTCCCTATTCAGCTACTTTACCTTATTCAAATTAACTTAATTTTTAAAAGAAACTCGGGATCAATAAGATTCATCCTACAAAAGACATACCACAGGCAAAATTAATCATATTCATTACACTTGAAATTGCAAAGTATACATGCCTGTCAAGGCAAATAAATAAATGTGATATACGACATTAGCAAACATTATAGATTGACTGGAGTCAGGCATCTCATTTATTTATTTATTTATTTATTTATTTATTTATTTTTGAAGTTAATACAAGTTGCCTAGCTGTGTTTTAATGCTGAAATACATTACAGCAGGGAACTGAAATGTGATAATTTTAGCAAAGCTGTAAATCTCATAATCAGCTTTGCATATGAGTAATCAGAAAACTTGCAGGATCTCGGTTTCTAAGGCTGTCAAACTTTATTTCTCAAAGTACCAAGCATAAGAACGAAAATTGCCCACTTTGCTTTGATAGTTGGATTTTGAAGACATGATGCATACAAATCTGTTAGTGATGATGTTTTAGATTCCTGGAAATTGTGGTTAAAAATATAACCTTGAAGCTCTGGTTTCTAAATATACATTTCACTTGAAGTGCATTTTGGGATATCCATTTTGCCCACTCAATTATATGTAATGATATTACTGAGCATTCTGTTGTTGCACTCTTTGCAACAACCCTTGGAAGCAACCTAGTATTGCCATTTGGCCTGAATATAAGTCTCACTTTCCTCCCAAATTCCGACCATGAAAAGTTAAAGTGTGGCTTATATTCGTGACCTTACGGTATGCAACCAGGAGCATGGGGCAAACAGCATCAGGGGCATGGCAAAGCAGTGGCAGCTTCCTTGCATAGTCCCCATCCTCTACCCCAAGGCTGGGAAGGGAGAGAGCAAGGAAGGGGAAAGGCCGTCGGCAACGCAGCTTGGCTCCCCCCCCCCCCGCCCAGTATGTAGCCAGGAGCAGCGAGGAATGGAGTGGCTTATATTCGGGTATTTTTTCTTTTTTTCTCTTTCCACCTCCAATTTTAAAGGTGTGGCTTATATTCAGGTGCGGCTTATATTTGGGCCAATAAGGTATTATCTCAATATTGGAGATGGAAGGGTAAGAGGAGGGGTAGGGAGCCTCAGGCATGAGGGCCAAATACAAGACCCTATGGCCTATCTATCTGTCCCATGTGACTCTCCCCAAGTCACATCCCCTTCCCAACAATGCTTCCTCTCCTCAGGCCACATTCCCTCACCAGTTCCCTCACCAGAAGAGGAATTGATTCTTTGGGGGAAGCCATGATTGTTTAAAGTAGTATGGTACTGCTTTAACTGTGTAGTCCATAGGTTGAGATCCCACACATTCCTGCATAAGAGCAAGCCACATTGAACTCAATAGGATTTACTTAGCAGACCTGCATAGGCTTACATTGTGAATATCCTTGCAGCTGCAGAATAGGTAGGAAGAAGAAGAAAATATTTATTTCCCAGAAAGCGCACAACTATTCATTTCAAACAACCTTCCTTTTCTAAACAGGAGTATGAAATCCACTGTAAACTGAGAAATGTGTCTTTCGGAATATCTTTAAAGTGATATGTCCATTCAGTATTGAATAATTCAGAATGCATATCTGTTAAGGAGTAGAATGCTTTATCTCTAATGTGCCCTGAATAACCTGAAGTAAGTGCCAAGCAGAAGACTCTGCTGTCATCTGAAATCTCTGTCGTGAAGTTAATCAAAAACGTCCATTCATCTCCTCATAGGCCAAATGTGGCTTCATAAATCTGCTGAGACAGACTAGTCAAGAGACAGTGCATATAGGACATGTCAGAGGCATTGAAGACAGCTATGATCTAGATTCACAAGAGCTGACAAGAGACCACAAAATGCCAGTACAGCATCCAGTAATCCTAAAGTGAAATCCATCTTTCAGCAGAAAAACAAATTAAGGGCAATAATTCGGTGATAAGAGGCAGGCCAGAACAGGTTCAAAACGCTGAATATTTCACAGGGTTGTTTAATTAAAACAGAAGCATGATGCTTTTAATTGCTCTGCAGCAGTTCAGCCTGAAATTAAGCCTGATGTGAATGCACTTGCAGTTGATTTAAGTTGTTATAATTGCAAAATATTACAAGGAATGAACACCAAGATAACACTCGAATGGGGCTTTCTAGTGCAAATCTTCTCTTCTCAGCTCTGTGCCAATTTGTGAGGGAAGAGGTGAGAGAAAGGATCGTAAATGTCAACCTGCCCACATTCTTTAGCAAGCCTCACATGGATTTAAATTTCAGCTCCAGAATGTGATGCATTTTCCCACACCAACAACATTTGGGTAGTCATTGTTTTCCTTCATGATGGGGAGGGAAGTCATTTAGGGAATACATAAAAGGTTGGGAGATTTCATTCCATGCATGCTAAATACCAGAGAGCATTTAGCAGTTTCAGAAAGTCCTATGGCAGTGTAGAAAGTGGGTTCCCTTCTCCATTCCAAGAGAGAGTTTGGGTGGGAAGCCTTCAAGTGCTCTTTGTCCTAGTTTACTAGATTATTTCCAGACCACCTGAAATTTCCACACACACCATATGACCTTTTAAACTAAGGTGTTCGATCAAGGTTTAAACCAAGGGGAAGCTACCAAATGGTGGCAGAATAGTGTTCTCTGGCCACACATCCCTTCTCCATTTTTGCTCCACTTGGTCTCAAAGCTAAGATCCACTTACACTAGAACCTTGGTTCTCGAATTTAATCTATTCCAGGAGTCCGTTCGACTCCCAAAACTGTTCGAAAACCAAGGCGCAGCTTCTGATTGGCTGCAGGAGCTTCCTGCACTCAAGTGGAAACTGTGTTGGATGTTTGGCTTCTGAAAAACATTCAAGAACTGGAAGGTACGACTGTATTTCCCCTTGAAGCATAAAAAGCAGAACATGGTGGCGTTGAGCAAATGAGCTTCCTGATGCGACTTATTCTGGATCCGCTTGACTTAGTCACCTTGGGAACTTATTTGAAGGGCAGGGAAAACATTTCCCTGTGTGAAATAAATAAATCGTGTATTGCCAGATACCTTTATCAATCCCAAGCAAGAGCTCAGTGTTTGAATCCCTTCTACTCACTACAGATAGGTACTCACGCAAACAGCACACGTATATCTGAGAAACGGTACAATTTTTTCTGCAGGAAATTTCTCTGCAGGTTTCAAGCTCTCAGGTTTCGCCACAGGCCAATAAAAATGTGTGCTTATTTGATAATATTTATTTATTCATAACTTTAAAAGTTTCAGTCACGTTCCCAAGGACCAGAAGTACAACCTCACTAATGAGGGCCTAAAATTACGAAACGTGGGTGGTGCGTGATGCAGGGCAAATGAGTTTTTGCAATTTGTGTACTCAGTTCCGTACTTTAACTATGTGCTGTGTGAAGAAACATTTCCTTTTGTCTGTACTGAATCTTTCTACATCCCACTTCATTGCTTACCTCTCCCCGACACCAGGTTATTTATGAACAAATTAAAAAGTACCATTTCAAAGAGTGATCCTTGAGGAATCCCACTTCTTACACCACTGTTAGAACTGTCCTTTTATTCCTACTCTTGTTTCTCATTCTTTTACCACTTACCCTCTCCCCTTATCCAGTGACTGCTAAGGTTACTCACAAATATTGGGCGGGGGGTTGTCTCAAAACCTTTCTGAAAGTCTAAGTATACCATGTTGACGGGCTCACCCTTATCCATACACTCTCAAAGAACTCTAAAAAAGATTTTTTTAGGCAGGACTTGCAGAAGCCATGTTGCCTCTCCATCCATTTTCTTGGCCTTGACCTGTGTCCGAATTCACACTGAGCCCAAATGTTTCCCTGCCCTACCAGTTTTGATCAATGCCACGTTCTAAAAGACCAAGAAGTAAGATTTTCAGGCTATTAAGAAACCATCCATAAACCAGGAATATTAGACCCTCCAAGTGTCCTTATTTTCCAGGGACGGTCCCTGAATTACAGAAGCTGTCTCAGTTTCTGATTTGATCTTGGAATGTCTCACTCTTCCTTAAGACGTCCCTATTTTCATTGGAAAATTATTCGGGGGTATGGTAAACGTAAAGGTAAAGGGACCCCTGACCATTAGGTCCAGTCGTGGACGACTCTGGGGTTGCAGCGCTCATCTCGCTTTATTGGCCGAGGGAGCTGGCGTACAGCTTCCGGGTCATGTGGCCAGCATGACTAAGCCGCTTCTGGCAAACCAGAGCAGCACACGGAAATGCCGCTTACCTTCCCACCAGAGCGGTACCTCTTTATCTACTTGCACTTTGGCGTGCTTTCGAACTGCTAGGTTGGCAGGAGCAGGGACCGAGCAACGGGTGCTCATATTCGAGGGTATGGTAGGATGTCCCTATTTTCATGTTGGAGAGTATCTATACGACCCCCAAGCCAAGGAGATAAGTAACTATGCAACCTTTAGAAGACATCTGAAGGCAGCCCTGTATAGGGAAGTTTTAAAAAAAATGTTTAATGTTTAATGATGTTTTTATATGTGTTGGAAGCCACCCAGAGTGGCTGGGGCAAACTAGTCAGATGGGTGGGGTATTATTATTATTATTATTATTAGAATAGGAAATCCCTATTTTCATTGGAGAAATGTTGGAGGATATAGAATATCCTTTTGTGAAGACCCTGACTTCCTAGTAGCCTGCTAAGTGAAGCCATAGTGATACTTCTTTTAGCATTTGTGCTAATACAGACAGCAAAATTTGCCGCAAGAGTACCTTTAGGTTTTGTGAATGAGGTGAGTCTGTTTGTGCTTTCTGAGTCTAAACTGCTTTATCCACTTTGCAACTGCTATCTCCAATATACGCTGGAGGGGAGAAAATGTTATCTCTGTATTCAATATGCTTGATTTGCAGGGAAACACACACACATAACTGTTCTAGCATTATTCTAACCAACTGCCTGTTAGAGCAATGCCCTTTATTAGTGGAGTGCACT